TACAACAATAATACAATACAATAGTCTCAAGGAAACCTAAAAGTTTTTCAATAACAAAAAAACTATATCGTTTTAAAACCAAAAAAAAAAAAAAAAAAAAGAGTTTTCTATCTTTTCTAGAAATAGGAAACTAGTTTATTTTTTAAAAATTAAATTTATTGAAAATAACATAATTTTAGTGATAATAACAATCCTAATTGTCAAAGAAATAGACTTACAAATAGTTTTTGCTAAAATTTTAGTAATCAAACTTACTTTACTCTTTAATTCGTGGAGTGAAAAAAAAAAAATCATAATTGATGCAAAATAGTTAATAAGTAAATATAGGTGACAGATAATTATAAATGTTAATTTAATTTTTTTGGTGTCTAGAGGTTTTTGAGTGCGTTGTTAATTTTTCTTCAAAATCAAAGTTAGTAATAATGTTTAAAATATCATATGAGTTATATATTTATAAGATCAAATTATTCCAAAAATTATTTATTGTATATGTACTTGTCATTTTTCAAAATTTGAGGAATGAAATTCTTACTATTGTGTTTCCCATGAAAAATAATAGAAACCTTAAAAGTGGATTTGTTTTGGAATTTTCTTATTCAATTTAGGCTTTACATTTTTTTTTTTTAAAGTCTAAGGCTTTACCCCAAAAATAGCATTATATTATATAATTTCTTAGCAACAGAGCGTGTAATCAGTCGCTGAAAACGCGAGTGACGATCTTCGGATCAGCATTATCCTAAATTTTTAAACGGGAAGCTGGGGACAAAAAGTCAGAAACCCATCCCGTCTTCCATGGATCCATCTGGTTTCGGTACAATCCACTCCAGCGTCGCTGTCTTCAACCTTCGCCTGAACACGACACCTCCAATCAACGCAACCATTTAATCCCGGCACCAATTTCCGCAACTGAGAAAACGAACTCATCGCCCGCCGGAGAGAAAGGGAAAATCGGAAGCAAAATGAAGGGAAGAACAGCAATGGAAGTCGGAGCTGACGGTGTTGCTCTGATCACTATCATCAACCCTCCCGTCAATTCTCTTTCTTTCGACGGTACCCTTCTCCAAAATCTTACTTCTTTTGTCCCTGTTATTCACTTGATTACAGATTCGTTAGAGTCACTGTCTATATGATTTCCAAATCTTTTACCATAATCAGACCATCTTTAGGGTCACTAAAGAACCATGCTTTTCTTTTTCTTATTGAATTTTTTGCTAATCTTTCTTTCTCTACCTCAGTATTACAGAGCTTAAAAGAAAACTATGAGCAGGCTTTGCTTAGAGATGATGTGAAGGCCATTGTTGTTACAGGTATGTTCAATGAGATTACCTGCGGAGTTGGGGGAAGCAAATTTGTGAGAAATGAATGGTGTGAATGTGATTTAAATTACTATTAATGAGTTTCATTTGAGCAGGCGCAAATGGGAAATTTTCTGGGGGTTTTGATATTACAGCTTTTGGGGGGCTTCAAGGAGAAAAGGGTATGTTTAACTGGTCAGTCTATTCTATAGTCAAAAATGAAATTCTGTGCCACATTCTTGTCAATAGAGAAAGTTTCTATTTTATGTTTGCAGTTGAACAACCAAAGCCTGGCATGATATCAGTAGAGATTGTCACTGACACCGTAGAAGGTAAGCATGCAGATTTCATTTAATCTAAGTTGAATGTATATTCTGCAAAATTTGGATAGATGTATTTGACTTCTGAATTTTGTACCTCAGCGGCAAGAAAACCATCAGTTGCTGCTATTGATGGGCTGGCCCTGGGTGGGGGTCTGGAAGTTGCAATGGTAAGTATTCTCATCTTTTTTTTTCTTTTTTTTCTTTTTTTTAATGATTAGGGAGAACCGATTTCATGCTATTCTTCTTGCTATTCCAGGCATGTCATGCTCGAATATCAACCCCTACTGCACAGTTAGGCCTGCCTGAGCTTCAACTTGGAATAATTCCTGGGTTTGGAGGTATGCTTATTTGATTTGAATGGGTGTTACATTATCAAGTTGAACCAGTGTTTAGACTCTTAGAGTGCATGGTGCTTGAACAACTCTTTTTTTTTCCCCCCTTCCTTTTTAAATTTGAAAAATCTATGCATTGTGATGCATAACATTTGGATATTTTGGATATGACGCATTGGCAATATTTGTTGTCTGCTTTAATTGAAGTTGATGAAAATCCTCCTCCCTTCTTATTACTGATCCCATTCGCCTGAATTGGCTTAGGGACACAACGGCTTCCACGCCTTGTTGGTCTAACAAAGTCACTTGAAATGATGCTGGTATGTCCTGGCTAGGTCATCACTTTGCTTGAATCTGATTTAGGTTAATTTATTATGGTTGGTATCTTTATCTCTCTCTGTTCCCCTCCCATACTCTAACAGACATCAAAGCCAGTAAAAGGAGAAGAAGCCCATGCCCTAGGTCTTGTTGATGCTGTTGTTTCACCTGCTGAATTAGTAAAGACAGCACGTTGCTGGGCCCTTGATATTTTAGCACGAAGAAAACCATGGGTTGCTAGCCTTTACAAGACTGATAAATTGGAGTCACTTGGGGAGGCTAGAGAAATACTCCAATTTGTAAGAGCTCAGGCCCGCAAGCAAGCTCCAAATCTCAAACACCCGTTAGTTTGCATTGATGTTGTTGAAGAGGGCATAGTTTCCGGTCCTAGGGCTGGTCTATGGAAGGTCTTTATTTTTCTCAAACACTGTTTCTAATGTTCTTTCACTTCCACAAGTATTGCAACAAAGATTCAACTTATTGACATTATTTTTGGTATTGGCAGGAGGCTGAGGCTTTCCAAGGATTGCTACATTCTGACACCTGCAAGAGCTTGGTTCATATCTTCTTTGCTCAACGTGGAACAACAAAGGTTTGAATAGAAACTTTCTGAAAGAAGTTTGGCATCAGTTTCTTAACGTATGAGTAATGGACCTTGAATTTGCAGGTTGATTAGGAGGATTTTTTATTTTTAGATTTCAGCTCATAATTTAACAAGGGCTGTTGCTTAATCTAGACCTGAAATATTCTAATTTATGTGTGGGCTGT